TCTTTTTCACAAGTGTTGAGTTTGAAAAATACACATCATGTAGACTACCTTCAAGATTTGTTGACTTTGTCATCTTAAATGGTACAGTTATATAGCTATCTTTGCTTCATAAATAGTTTAAATTGATTTTTTGATGCTTTGTTTACTAAACTATAAACTGGTTTTATATTTTTAATATTTTAATAGTCCCGAGGTAGTTATCTTGTAAGGTTGTATCATCATCATCATCATCATCATCATCATCATCATCATCATCAATAATTTTGAGCCTTCAAGTTGGGCTATGTCATACTCACACTTCTGTCCAACATGCAGGCTTTTAATTCTTCCTAGGAGCCAGTGTTCCTTGTGAAGGAGTCAATTTAAGTTAACATTTGTCCTCCACATGAATCCTGCGCTTGCTGCCTCATGCTGTGTTGATCCATTTTAAGTCTTCATCTGTTCAGTCTTGCTTTCTAATAATAATAATGATAATGATAATGATAATGATAGTGATAATGATAATGATAATGATAATGATAATGATAATGATAATGATAATGATAATGATAATGATAATGATAATGATAATAATAATAATAATAATAATAATAATAATAATAATAATAATAATAATAATAATGATAATAGTAGACCTGATATTGTAGTTCTGGAAAAGGCGGGAAGGGTGTGTTCATTGTCGATGTAGCTTGCCCTTTTGATACACGGGTAGCAGAAAAAGAAACCGAGAAGATTGACCACTTTAAGGACTTAAAAGTGGAAGTGCAAATTAAGATCTGAAACTGCAGAAGAGTATCTGTCATCCCTATTGTAATAGGAGTTCTTGGAACTGTGAGTAAACACCTACACTATAAGGATGTGGATCAGTAAGCTGGGAACACATGGGACCATTGCATTACTCCAGAAAGCTGGTTTGTTGGAATAGCAAAGATCCTGAGAACGACCCTAGACACCTAAGGCTCAAAGGAGATAGCTTGATGCTTTGGCGAATAAGGCCACCTATAGGTGTGAGACATGCACATAATAATAGTAATGATGATAAATATTAACTATTTATCGAGGATAACCCCATCAGTAAAAAGTAGCCACTGTTATCAATTGGGTCCAGTTGGAGCATGACTAAGAATCAGAAACTAAGGAATAAGAATTTCTAAAGTATATAAAATAAAATACATATTAAAAAAGCAAACATGCATGTTGAATGTCGAGAAACCAGTCGATGGTTCCAGACACGGTCAGATTTAACTAGATGAAACACACAACATAAGCATACAAGTTTCCAACATGGCAGTCCACTCACGAGCTGACGTGCTTTAATGCGCATGCGTAAACAACAACTACTGACAGATAAATAGCGAATACATAACACTTCCTCCCCTTCTAATATGTGGAAGTACTAAAATCACTGAAGACACTGTTTTGCCAAGTTAACAAAATTAATCTAAAAAAAAGGCTAATAAGTCACTTGAAACTTGTAAACATCAACAAAAAGGGTAACATAAATGTCTCTAGAGCTCCGGCAGTGTCCAACCCTGAAAATGTTCCTTACTACTATCAATGTCACAGATTTAGCATAACAGGTGCTTTTCTCTGCCTGACTAGATATCTGCGCTAAGTCCTATTTGGCAAATCTCTTGAAGTTGACATATTGGGACTTCGTGCTCGAGACGAAGAATCCAACTCAAGTCCTGGAACCGGGTTTGGCGACTGAAGCTTACAAGCTGACTTCCTTGCTGCTATGGGGGTCTGAGTCTGGATCTTTGGAGTTGACGGCTGTGCTGAGACACAATTCGGGGTCATGTCCTTGAGCACTGAGGCTTGTACTGCAACTGGTTTCGGTGTCTGTATAGGTACCTTACAGGGTCACTCTGTTTCTGTCTCCGGCACACTGGTAGCAGCACTTGGAGATGTTGACGTACCAGATGTCAACTTTGGAGACAACATTGGAACAGCTCGCTCTTCGGGAAACACATCATCAAAACCCTCTTCATCTAAAACCTCTTCAGAATTCTCACACTCAGTTCGCAGCAGGTGATCAACATGTACATTACGCAGTTGTCGCCCTACTTTCACCAGATCGGTTAATGGCCCCAACCTTCTAATCACTGTACCAGGAACCCACTTCTCTACCCCTCCCCGGGTATTTCGCACATTCACAGAATCAGGCGAAGACATTTCACGCATCTTAACACGGCTCTTATCGTGCTGCTGCTATAGCTTGCCTTGCTTATTTTGGATGTGCATTTCCATGTTAGGCTTTAGAACACTGAACTTGGTGCGAGGTTTGCGCTTTAAGAACAGTTCTGCTGGTGTCACTCCTGTAACAGAATGAGGAGTGTTTCTGTACTGGAACAGACAGTTTGCCAGTTGGATCTTCAAAGACCGCTTCGTTGCACGTCTTTTTACTCTTTCGGCCTCCTTCTGTAATGCTTGCTAGAGGATTTGTACAGCACGTTCTGCTGCACCATTAGACAATGGGTGATACGGGGGAACTAGCGTCTGTTTAACTCCATTCTGCTTTAGGAAATCCACAAACTCACTAGCAATAAACTGGTGACCATTATCGGACACAACTTCCTCAGGGAGTCCGTATGCTGCAAACCACACTCTTAACCAGTCAATAGTACTCTTAGTTGATGTAGATGTCATGTGTGCTACCTCAATCCACTTGGAGTGGCTGTCAACTAGACCAAGAAAACTATTGCCATCCTTCTCAGCAAAATCAATGTGTACTCTCTGCCACACACGAGGAGGCCATTTCCACGGGTACAGGGGTGCTCTTGGAGGCGCTTTCCGCACTGACTGGCAAACCTCACCATCAGCTCAATCTCTGCATCCAAATTAGGCCACCATAGATAACTCCGGGCAAGGGCTTTCATGGCAACAATACCAGGCCTGAGAAGAAGAACATTTCTGCCTCTTCTTTCATGGGACTGATGTCACAGGGTAAACGTGATAAGGCATCTTGCATTATCATGCTCTGCCCATGAGCGATACTCCACCCGATAATTGTACGCCTGCAGAATAACGGCCCAGCGCTCCATTCTTGCTGCTGCTAACTTAGGTACTGCTGTTTTAGGACCCAAGATGGTCACTAATGGCTTGTGATCTGTTGAGAGGTGAAACGTTCGACCGTATTGATACTTGTGACACTTCCGGACACCAAATACTATTCCCAGGGCTTCCTTCTCTATTTGCGGGTAGTTCCTTTCGCTCTTTGTGAATGTTCTCGAGGCAAATGCAATGGGACGCTCTTCACCATCATCCATTACATGTGAAATCACGGCTCCCACATCATAAGAAGAGGTGTCACACGCCAGAATCAGCTTTCTGTTTTCATCATATGGCACAAGCACCTTGTCAGCCACAAGCTCAGATTTACTGCGCACAAATGCCTTGTCACACTCTTCTGTCCAAGCCCATTTCACTCCTTTCCGGAGCAGTTCATGCAGCGGCTGCAGCAACGTGGATAGATTGGGTATGAAATTTACATAGTAATTGAGCAGTTCCAAATAGAAACGAAGCTCTGCCACATTCTTCGGGCTCGGGGCCCCTTTAATGGCTGCAATCTTCTCATATGTGGGATGCTGTCCTTCTCCATCAACGCGGTACCCCAGGAACTCGACACTTGGCACCATGAACTCACATTTTGACGTCTTAGCTAATATGCCATGCTTTTCCAACCTAGTCAACACCTCATCCAATAGTTGCAAGTGTTCATGGGGCTCTGTTCTGATCAGAGTATCATCTATACGACAACGCACTATATCCATCCCTTGCAGTATCTGATCCACTGTTGACTGAAAATTAGCAGGAGCAGAGGCTATACCATAGGTGAGACGCTGATGTGCATACAACCCTTCTTGAGTGTTCACCGTGAGATAGTGCTGGCTGTCTTCCGCCAATTCCATCTGCTGATATGCATTTGACGAGTCAATGTCGCTGAACACAGTTCCACCGCCCAAAGTGGCGAATACATCCTCTGTGTCTGGCAACGGATATGGGTTGTCTAGAAGAAACCTGTTAATGGACACCTTGAAATCCCCACAGATACGAATACTTCCGTCTTTCTTTGGCACACAAACAATGGGCGAAGCCCAGTCACTGTGTTCCACCTTCTTAACTACTCCTTGACTTTCCAGACGGTCTAACTCTTCTTCAGCTTTTTGGCGAAGGGCGTAGGGTACTGGCCGGGCTTTGCAAAATACAGACTTAGCATCATCTTGCAATTTAATATCTGCCTTGAAGCCTTTGATGGTACCCAGTCCTTTGTTGAACACCTTGTCATGCCGCTTTAATGTGTCTGACAGCGTTTCAGTCTTGCACACAAGAAAGATGTTGTTCAGCTGGAGTTCTTTCAGCCAATTCCTGCCCGGTAGTGGGGGACCATCTCCATCAACTACAATCAACGGCAATACCCTTTTCTGCTGATCATATACCACCGGTAACCAAACCTCTCCATAGACTGGAATTTGGACACCATTGTAAGCCTTTAACTTAACCTTACTACGCAGCAATGGCCACTGATTAAACTGCTGGTCATACAGGGTCTTAGGCAAGATAGACACTGTTGCTTCTGTATCCGACTGCATTTCACAGCTCTTCTGGTCTAACATCACTGACAATTGAATTGGTGCATGCCCCTTTTTTTCGGAATACTCAGCTGTAAACAGACCTAGTGCTTCATCACCATCATCATCATCTGTGTCGTTTACCACCACGTCTTCCAAATACTTGTTAACTTCTGCCTCTCGCTTCCGGCCACCTAACGAGTTTGCTGCTCCACCTCTTGTCTTGGTCTTGCACACAGCTGCATAATGACCCACCATTTTACACTTTAAACACTCTGCTTGGCGAGTTGGGCAGCATTTATGTGGGCCATAATGCCACTCTCGACCACATCGGTAGCACCGCCCTTTACCAGCCTTCTTGTTTGGCTGCTTAGAAGATTTAGAACGAGATTTCTGGACAACTTTATGCACACTCAATGGCTCTTCTCTCTGCTCCCCCATTCGTTTAGCCTTCAGGTCTACAGCTTCCATAGCTCGAGCAACCTCTTGCACTTTTGTCAGAGTCAGGTTTTCTTTTCCCAGTAATTTTCGTCTTAAAGCCGAAGATCGACATTTATCGATGACTTGGTCTCTGATGTCAACATCGGTGTTATTGAAATTACAATTCTGTGCTTGTTCCCTGAGTCTAGCGATGAACTGATCAACTGTCTCTCCATCCTGTTGAGTCATGCTCCTACATACATGTCTGTCATACGGTTCGTTCAGTTTGGTTACAAAATACACGTTCAGAGTGCGAACAGTTTTCTCGTATTCCGTTGCGAGGTATGTCCAGGATCGATCTTGTTAGCAAAAAAATTTAACAAAATTTTTTTCGCAATGGTCGCAAAAGAAATAATTGAGAAAAAATTATGTCAGAAAATCACTTACAAATATCGCAAAAATCGCAAAAATAACAAAGCTAATAAGAATCAAGACTTAGAAAAAAAAGAAGCCAAGAAGGGCCCCGAAATGTCCGCAAATATCGCAAAAATCGCAAAAGTAACGAGGATTTTTCTTGCTAGCGAAAAACACCCGTGAGAAATATCGCAAAAGTAACAAATTTAAGAAAATTCTAGACTTAGAAAAAGAAGAAACCAAGAAGGGCCCCGAAATGTCCGCAATTATCGCAAAAATCGCAAAAGTAACAAGGATTTTTGTTGCAAGCTGAACACACCCATGACAAATCTCGCAAAAATAACAAATCTAACAAGAATCACGACTTAGAAAGCAAAGAAGCCAAGAAGGGCCCCGAAATGTCCGCAAATATCGCAAAGATGGCAAAAGTATCAGGGATTTTTCTTGCTAGCTAAAAACACCGATGACAAATATCGAAAAATAGCAAAAATAATAAATGTAACCGCATTCAAGACTTAGAAAGCAAAGAAGCCAAGAAGGGCCCCGAAATGTCCGCAAATATATCGCAAAAATCGCAAAAGTAACGAGGATTTTTCTTGCTAGCTAAAAACACCCGTGACAAATATCGCAAAAATAACAAATTTAACAAAATTCTACACTTAGAAAAAGAAGAAGCCAAGAAGGGCCACGAAATGTCCGCAAAAATCGCAAAAGTAACAAGGATTTTTCTTGCTAGCTAAAAACACCCGTGACAAATATGGCAAAAATCGCAAAAAAAAAAAAAAAAACTTAGACAGAAAAGAAGCGAAGAAGGGCCCCGAAATGTCCGCAAATATGGAAAAAATCGCAAAAATAACAAATCTAACAAGAATCAAGACTTCGAAAGAGAAGAAGCCAAGAAGGGCGCCGAAATGTCCGCAAAAATCGAAAAAGCAACAAGGATTTTTCTTGCTAGCTAAAATCACATATGACAAATATCGCAAAAAGAACAAATCTAACAAGAATTAAGACTTAGATAGAGAAGAAGGCAAGAAGGGCCCCGAAATGTCCTGATTTGAAAAGGAAGGATTACCAAATCACTGGCAATCCCTGTTTAAAAAACTTTGGGTATTGAACAGCAACATTCATGTAAAATGCCCGTTTTCTTTCCCCCAATGTGCTATTCTTGATATTTTGGAACGATTGTTATGGTGGGTTCTTGGCCATGAAAAGTTCTGCTGCCACACCTTTTTATTGCTTAAAATCTTACTTTTGCCATTTTTGCGATATCTGCGGACATTTCGGGGCCCTTCTTGGCTTCTTTGCTTTCTAAGTCTTGATTCTTGTTACATTTGTTATTTTTGCGATATTTGTCATGGGTGTTTTCTACTAGCATGAAAAACCCTTGTCACTTTTGCGATTTTTGCGATATTTGGGGACATTTCGGGGCCCTTCTTGGCTTCTTTTCTTTGTAAGTCTGGAATTTTGTGACATTTGTTATTTTTGCGATATTTGTCATGGGTGTTTTCAGCTAGCATGAAAAATCTTTGTTACTTTTGCGATTTTTGCGGACATTTCGGGGCCCTTCTTGGCTTCTTTTCTTTGCAAGTCTGGAATTTTGTTACATTTGTTATTTTTGCGATATTTGCAATGTTTGTCATGGGTGTTTTCAGCTAGCACGAGAAATCCTTGTTACTTTTGCGATATTTGCGGATATTTCGGGGCCCCTTCTTGGCTTCTACTGTTTCCAAGTCTTGATTCTTGGTAGATTTATTTATTTTTGCGATATTTGTCACGGATGTTTTTATGTAGCAAGAAAAATCTTTGTTACTTTTGCGATTTTTGCGACATTTGCGGACATTTCGGGTCCTTCTTCAGGGTGCAAAGAAAATCATTTTTACAGCTTGCCATTCGGGCAAGCTGAAGCTACCATTTACTAGCCCAGACGTCATTTCAACTAGCCCCAAAAACTTTTTGACTAGCAGAATTGATGTCACCATTCCTCTGTTATTCGAATTCCTCAAAAAACATTACTTGCCTGTCGGGCAAGTTAAAAACAGAATTCACTAGCCCGATAGCAAAATCAACTAGCCCCGGGCTATCGGACGCTACTTTCTTTGCACGCTACTTCTTGGTTTCTTTTTTTTCTAAGCCTTGATTCTTGTTAGATTTGTTATTTTTGCGATATTTGTAAGTAATTTTCTTACATAATTTTTTCTTAATTATTTCTTTTGCGACAATTGCGACCATTAGTACCAAATATGGCAAAATGCCACAAATTGCGCTAGAGTAACAAGAATAGGCAAGAATTGTTGAAGGGCAAGAAAGGGGCCAAGTACACCCGCGCATCACTGTTTTTCCCTAATAGTAATGGTTATCTTAACTGGAATAGGTTCTCGTCCAGTAATTTTGTAATGCGTTTCATTTTCGCGAAAATGAAATCATCAGTTACAGACGTGACACTATTTATATAATTACTAACAGTACCAAAATACTGTAATATCAATCTGTGTATGCTTCGTTCTTCCATCAACATACAGCAACAATGCATAAAAAGGAGTGCCGCCCACAGAAGGGGGCAAATTTTAAGCAATGAAAGGGGGTGGTAGCAGAACTTTCATGCCCAAGAACCCACTGTAACCATCGTTCCAAAATTCAAGAATAGCACATTGGGGGAAAGAAAAAAGGCATTATACATGAATGTTGCTGTGCAATACCCAAAGTTTTTTAAACAGGGATTACCAGTGACTTGGTAATCCTTCCCTTTTGAATCAAGGCTTAAAGTTTAAACAACAACCATCCCAATGAATGTTATATGTGTATGATCGATCCTGGACATAAGTGTCCGTTGCGGTATCTTCCTCAAACGTATCTGTGCTTGGGTCCTTTAGCGTTTCGTACAACTCTTGAACCTCTATTCCCGCCGTGTGCAGTAGCAAAGCTTTCTTTTGCGCGTCATTCACCACTCCTTTGGCTATGAGAAAGTATTGAAACGATTGAAGCCATTTCTTCCAACGTGGTGCCAACGCTGACGAATTCCCTTTCCACTCGAACAGACTTATCCCTTGGATTTCGATATTAACTGCCGCCATTATTCGCCGTTTCAGTCTTTTTCAGTTAATCCCATCCTCGGCGCCAGTGTTGAATGTGGATAAACTAGTCGATGGTTCCAAACACGGTCAGATTTAACTAGATGAAACACACAACATAAGCATACAAGTTTCCAACATGGCGGCCCACTCACGAGCTGACTTGCTTTAATGCCCATGCGTTAAACAACAACCGCTGACAGATAAATAGTGAATACATAACAATGCACTTAGTTTAAAACTGTTAAGAACTGCAACGGAATTATTGTGTCTTAAACTTACAGGAGCCTAAAAATAAAAACTACATGTACACAGCATGCAAAATCCAGTTTGACCTTTGGCAGTTTTGCTGATTTTCCATTGTTCCTAGTGTTTAACGTATTATGATATAAATTGTTGAAAATAATTTTTAAATGGAAAACATGCTGTTCCATTAACGCAGCTAGTCAAATACAAAACAGCATGTTCTCAATTGCGATTAACTTACTGTTAAAAATCGAAGATCACACTTTTTGACTGCACAGTTTGTGGGACTCTGGCTATCCAAGACTATTATATCTGCAGTATGTTAATATTGGCATGATACTTGGAAGGAGAGGGTCCAGGCTTTGCATCTATTTATTCCACCGTCACTAATATTAAATTTAGTTTGTTTATAAAAGCTTCTCGAACATCACTATTTTGGCTCATCCTTGGTAAAAATGAAAAGCTAACAAGTAATGCAAAAGAAAGAAAACAACAGAGAATGAAGGAAAATAAAAGGTATAAAACAAACAAAGATTTCACAGGAGATTACACCAAGGTAAATCTACAATTTCACCATTGTTATTTGCTGAGGACGGGTACAATGACAGCTGAACATGTTTACTCATTTAAGCCCCATAAAAATATATTGATATTGACTGAGAATGAACCCTGCTCTGTAATCTTGTTAACTGGAACACGTCTCTGGCAAATGGTAAGTCAGTAAGTAAACAAGCATAGGAACATTATTTATTGATTGTTGTAGTTTGTCTTGTCAACTCTTGCGGTACTGTTCTTTGATTTTTCCTTTAATTCTCCTATCAATTCATTAGTTCCCCTGTTTTTAGCACACAGACAACTGTTCGTAAACTGGTGATAACCTGTCAATCACACTTTAAGCAGAGCTGTAGGTCTCCACTTCTACCTTCTAATGGTATTTTCTCACTATTCTCCCATTCATCTAAAGGTACAAACACTACAGGCTATTTCGAGGAAAAAATTTGTTCTTTGCCATCCAATTTTTTTGTCATGAAGAATATGACGGCCATTGGTTTGCATTTTTCTTCTGATGGTGTTGACAATTCTGATGGCACTGGTTTTATGGCTGGTTATGTCACATATGTTGAAGGTAAGTTATGATTACCATTATAATAGCTGCCATAAAGTAACATACACATGTAGGCAGGCAGGCTTCTGATGTACGGGATGGTGCAATTTTGCACAGTTTATTCACCTTTAATGACCTCAAAACGCATCTCATCAAACAATTTAGGAAAATCACATACAAATGTAATCTGTCAACAGTCCGGAATATCCCTAAATTTAAGGACAGGGCCAACTGGTCATGCGACACTTTTCAACCAATGAGAAGGCGCGCTTGTGTTTATCAACAAACAAATCAAAACATCGCCCCAGTGATCAAAAATTTTCAAAACAACGGACGGAGTCGGACAGAATCAGTCATCGTTTCGAGGCTCTCAGGCATATTTTTTAGACTTTTCATGAGGCATACACAATTCTTTTAAGTGGACAGCGTATCGGAAGCCATATTGGAAGTGTCTCGTGAAATATTCAGCACATTTTTTGGCTTATTTCTTCTATTATCTTTAAACCAACGCGATGTATAGGAGAGATTTTGGTCGGTTTTCAAGGAAAGATCGAAGCGACTCTGCTAGCAGGGTAAAGGCAGGTGAACAAGTATCTATTATTTTTTCGATTCACATATTTTTTTACCAAGTTCTAGATATTTTTCCTCGATTGTCATATCGATTAGCTTTTATCATGTTGAATGTGGGGATGGTAGACAACCTAGAATTTTGGGAGACAATTTTTGAATAATTCCTAGGTCCAAAACACGTACGTTTTCCACTCCCGGGTTTCTCACAGAGCCGTGTTATTACTTTTTTTCGCATTAGTACGAGCCTTTGCCTTTTTTTCTTTTCAAGGCCAAAACAACTTTATTAGTCTTATGGATATTCACGACCAACATCTCGCCTCACTTTGCCGAATTTGTTGTATTCTCCAAATGGTCATCCACCGTTAAAAAACAATCAAAGAAAGAAGGCAAATCTCAATTGTAAATGATGTATTTTGCTACTCATTGAACATGCACTGATTATCTGGGATAAAATTAAAACATTGCAGGTACTACAGCAAGCAAAGAAAGCACCAGATGCGTGAAGTCAACACGAAACAACACAAAAAAACAAACAATAAAAATTAATTAAATTTGAAGTACTTTCTATTCTTGTTATGATGACTCGTTCTTTGATTCTTGTCCTGTAGAAGTTAATAGGTAGTACCAATCCTGTTTTGTACGATCTCAACAATTTTTCACACTCTCTCCAAGGCTATTTTTACACGGGACCAGTTTGCTTCTATCAAAAATCTTGCAAGCCATGCAAGTGAAGCCACGACCTCTGCGATCGGTCCGGAATCAGTTCGAACACCCCAATGATTCCTTGCAATGGTTAATGTCTTATTCTCTTACATAAAATGTTTTCTTTGAAATATTAAATGTGAAACCTAGACGAGTACTGTAAGCTCATCTTTAATTCTATCCGACTCCGTCCGATGTTTTGAAAATTTTTGATCACTGGGGCGATGTTTTGATTTGTTTGTTGATAAACACAATCGCGCCTTCTCATTGGTTGAAAAGTGTCGCGTGACCAGTTGGCCCTGTCCTTAAATTTAGGGATATTCCGGACTGGTCAAAAAAACAAATTTGACTATTGGCTAAGTATATGAGTTCTAGTTTAATTATTGTACAATCAAGAATTGATAACAAAAAAGTTTTCCCTTTCTTTTTCTATTTAGGTGAAGAGGATCCAGGGTAAGAAATCTTTTAAGATGTGCTAGGAATTTTGAGAATTTATATATTTCTTTAAAGTTTGAGATGGAATCCCGCTCTTTTCCTTCCACATGGAAAATTTGTTATTTAGGTTACAAATAATCATTACCTCTCCCTGCAAGTAGCCAGCCAGCAGCTCAAATATAACAATTTAAATGGGTAGAAAAGGAATAATATATACTGCATTATAGTAGTAAGGGCAGTAGAAAATATCAGTCTGTCAGCATTTTAATATAAAAATGTACAACCTCTCTTACAATGCCAGTTCCCTGTTTGTATGCAGTCTGACCACCTTGTTATCATGACCAGTTGTTAAAATGACTGTAAATCTTATTCATGAAAACCACTGGAGTTAATATTACCAGATTCCCATGGTCTTTGGATGAGCAGAATAACAAGGCTTTATTGTAGAAGAACAATGGAAAATGCTTATGCAGCTAGAAGTTGCAAAAACCAGACTTCAGATATTTTCTAGAATCACCCAGTCTCTCCAATTTGTCATACTGTTTAGTGTTGGATCTTTAAATTTACGTGGTAACATGTTAATAAAATACAAAAAAGTGTAAATGTTACCATGACACGTATGCTAATGTTTATGTTTCCATAGCAACCGATTGTTGACAGGCATATATTGCAAAACAGGGAATTTTCCCTTTAATCTGATGTTTTTCTAGATTTCCAGATTGAATTATTACCTTTTTATAACATTATTTGTATGTGTAATCAAATGGTGACGAGTGAAATTAGGGAATAATTTCACGCGCGTTTTGTCCAAATCCTTATAAGTTCCCTGGCCTTTAGGCGAGGGAAATTATTAGGATTTGGACAAAACGCAAGTGAAATTATTCCCTTATTTCACGAGTATACCATTTGATTACCTATTAATATCATGGGTGACGAATTGCGTTAGCTATCTTGGATTTTTGACATGTTTATCCTGGATCGTATCCATCGAGAACTCCTGCACTCTCTCGAACGTTTAGAGCTTAAATTTGGCTAAGTTCAGAGTTTTTCGACAAAATACCTGTTAGAATCCTTCTTGATGTGCTCTTTCGTGTGTTCAGGTTTTCTAAAGCGTCTTTTTCAGCCCTGGCATCTTCATTCATGACATTTTAAAACTTCGTCGCCATCTTGACACTGAGACGTACGTTAGGTTGCCATAGCAATTTTGTAATTTCACACTTAAAATTACAAATTAACGCTGAAATTTCTCGCCAAAATTAAGGAGTAATTCGTCACCTATGATATTAAGCATGTTATTTATTCATATTGTCTTTCATGAATTTTTTGGTGTACTCTAAGTAGTCTTGCCACAACCATTAACACCTGAAACACCCTATTTTACAATGTTTAAGAAAACCTGCAGACATTTACAAGCGTAGTTACATTTTGTATCATCTCAACGTTTTTAGAACAATTAGTTTTCAAGGTGGTGCAGAGCGACTTTATTAAAAGCATGTTTGGTACAAACATGTAAATACCGAACCTTCACAAAGTGAATTATACTCAACCGTCTACAGGTCGCCTAGGTAAAATTTGTTCTCGTGTTAGTCACGGTAAAGCTTTACCACTGATTCTTGGAATCGCTCAAGAATTTTGGCCATGACACTTACAGTTTTTAGGCCATTGCGCTATGACAATCACGTAGCGTGCGACGCGATTCGCGTCTCAAGAGAGGGTGCTAACTTGCTCTTAGCAGTACTGTATATTTTTCAGAGTTAAACCTTGACTTATTCGTTTGGTGCATCACCTGCACAAGATGATAATTGGCCAGTAGCAGAAATATTCAAGTATCACTGTTCAGTGGTAAATTTGAAGGATAACCAGTTCTTAACTATATTTACCGACCCCTTCTTTC